GCTCAGCAGGCCATGAGGCGGAGATCCCTGCGGGGAGTCGGAGCCTCAGTCAGAGGGCTGCCCAGAGGCCCTCTGCTTTCGGCTTGAGCACGCGCGCCTCCTAGTCGAAGGAGGGATCCCCACCCAGGGTCCCCTCTGGGGCTGCCTCTGGTCCACCATTCTGGGGGTGGCACAGCCCCCAGTCCCTATAACTGAGCTTTTTATAAAATATCTTTATTGATTTCAGAGAGGAAGGGAGAGGAAGAGAGGAAGAAACATCAAGGATGAGAGAGAATCATTGATCGGCTGCCTCCTGCGCGCTCCACACAGGGGATCGACCCCGCAGCCCGGACCTGTGCCCTGACCAGGAATCGAGCCATGACCTTCAGGTTCATAGATCGAAGCTCAACCACTGAGCCACGCCAGCTGGATCTTAACAGCTTTTTGACCAGGAAGACAGCCGCCTCTGGCCGTTCCCCCGAGGAGGGGGTCGGGGCGGCCGGGGTCCTGTGTCTCAGAAACATCCCAGGAGCAAGCCTGCAAGTCCCCGCCACTCAGTCAGAGGGAAACGGACCCAGGACTTCCGTGCTTTTATGTCCCGTCCCTGGCGTGACCTCGCATTCTCTCTGGGCCGGGACAGCCCTGCCTGGCAGCCCCATCTTTTGTCCAGAGAAAGGAGGGTGTGGCACGTTGCAAATGGTCAGGACTGTCCCTCCCTCCCCGCCCCACAGCCCACTGTCCCCAGCAGCAGGGCAGGGGGTTCTGAGCGCCTCCTGGCAGGCCTGCGAGGTCGGAATTATTATCCCCATTTTGAGGAAACTGAGGCTCATGCTGATGGAGGGCCTAAAACATGCCGAGCGCTTAATATTCAGACATGAGTTTGTGTGTGTGTGTGTGTGTGTGTCTGTTAGTCCTCACCCGAGGATACTTTCCATTAATATTTGGAGAGAGTGGGAGGGAGGGGGAGAGACAGAGAGAAACATCGATGTGAGAGAGACACATTGATTGCTCGCCTTCCACACATGCCCCGACCAGGGCCGGGGATCAAGCCTGCAACCCAGGTACCTGTCTTGGACCCCAATCGAACCTGGGACCCTTCCGTCCGAGATCTGACACTCTGTCCACTGAGCCAAACTGGCCAGGGCCATAGACATGACTTCCTTTAGTTCTCTCAATGCTGTGGGGACGACCGCCTGCCCGCAACCAAGGTACATGCCCTTGACCGGAATCGAAACTGGGACCCTTCAGTCCTCAGGCCGACGCTCTATCCATTGAGCAAAACCGGTCAGGGCTTGGATACCTTTCATTATCACCCCAGGGAGAACTTGCCAACCCTATGCTTCTTGGGGTGGCATGGTGAAGGTTTACTGAGCCGGCTGGAAAGGCTGCAGTGGGGTTTAGGATAAGGTCTTACTGTTTGGTGGGGTTGGGGCTGGCCCCGCTTGAAGTTTCCCTGCCTAGGGGGCACTGGATTACCATCAACATCGGTCTTGGAGCGGCATTCATTTGCCCAATGCTTTCCTCTCCTGCATCTTGGACATAGTCCAGGCTGCTGGTTTCCGCTCCCTGTGGCCTGTTGACTTCCATTCTTAGCATTACAGTCTTTAGCAAAATGCCCTAGTTTGCCACAGTTAAAGCAGCCTCCCTTCTTTTTCCGCTGACCAGCGAGTACCATCTCCCTTAATGAGGCAGCTAATACTGCTCCCTGAACGTAGGCTGGTCCAATGCCAGCACATACATGAATATAATACTTCCATAACAAGTAGTCTCCGGGTGAGAGACAAGCCTTTGAAACAATATTAAGCCTCTGGTAACTTTCCACTATCCGTCTCAGTTCCCCTGCCACATTCATCCGCTCCCTTTCGGGAGTGGGCTCTAGGCAGTCCCGAATCAGGGACCACAGACTGAAAGTAGAGAGAGGAATTCTCCCTGGACTTCCAGCTATATAACCATCGCTAAGTTGTTTTCCTACCTTCTCCCATGCCTCTACAGTTACCTTTCCTTCCTCAGGAAACCATGGGCAGGTTTTACTTACAAAATCCAACAAATCTAAAAGCTGTTGAAACCTCACAGAACAGCCCCGTGCTTGGAGCCTCGCCTGAAGCATGGATACGTATAAATTCTTTTCCTGCGCTCCTGAATTTCCCATGTTTTACACCCGGTTATCACTAAACGTCGCTCCTTGCCTTCCATTTTACTCTCTGCATGTGCTTCACTGGAGCATCCTTTCACCTGACAACTGCAGTTCCCCCGAACTCAGGCCCCACGTTGGGCGCCACATGTGCCGGGCAGACACAGCCAAGGGTTTGGTGAGCCTGAGGGGAGGGGGGCAGCAAAGGATTAAAGAAAAGACAGACACAGAGAATAAGCTGGGTCTAGGTGGATCTCCTGTGCCTGGCTGAGGCCACAGAGAGAGACCTAGAGGGCAAGCTGAGCCTTATTCTATAGCCAGAGGTAAACAAGGTAGTGGTCACCATAGTTACAATGTTCTTGTGAGTTTCACTTGCTTTGGCAGCACTTGCTGCACTTCCTGCAGCCCCTTAGCTACCCAGATAGGATCCAGGGAGGATCATAAGGTCAAGCTTAAGTATGCTAAGAGGGCTGTGCCCTCTAAACTGGGACTTCTTTGTGGCTTTGCCAACAGGTCAGTGCAAGGCTTAACCCTATAGCCGCTCCCTATAGCTGTAGCCAGTGACCACAAACTTGGTGGCTTAAAGCAACACAAATTTGCTATCTGGAGGCCAGTTCTGGAGGCTGGAAGTCCAAAATCAATGCCGGTGGCTGAAGTCAAGGTGTCCACAGGCCGACACCTCCTCGGAGCTCTGGGAAGCCTCGGTTGCCCAGTCCCTCAGCTGCCGGAGGAGCCTGCATGCCCTGGCCCCCCTGCCTCCTCTGTGGCTGGAGGTCTGCCCCTCTCTGGCCTCCCCTCCTTCCTTTCCTCCCTCTAATGTGTCTCCCAGGACACCCAAACCTGTAGAGAGTTTTTGTAGGTTTATTTGAGCCAAACTGTTGACACCTGCCCGGGAACAAGATCTCCGGTGCTCTCGGGAGAGTAGCAGTTCTGCAGCCTCTTCAATGCACGTGAAATTAAGCAGAAACGTAAGGAAGGTGAAATGAAGGCGGGAGAGAGCCAGGTGGGGATCCGAACTGAGGAGAGTTAAGGAGAGTCTGTATTCCCTGAGGTGGTTACTGCTTACCTCTAAGGTGTGGACAGGGCTTGCTTGAGGCAAAAGACATCTTTTACTAAAAGGTTACAGGCCTGGGGTGTGACCTGCCCCGTTGGGGAGTTAGGATCAGATCACCCTGTGAGGTTTCTCTCCATAAAACACGCCCCCCCCTTTTTTTGTTTGCAAATTCTACTGCTGCTCTAGTAAGAGGACCTTTGTCATTAAGTTGGATTCACCCAAGTAATCTGGGGTCATCTCTGAATCATAATATTTTTACTTCATCCCATCGCGAAGTCCCTTTTGCCACGTCCGGTAACATAGTCACAGGCTCAGGGGACTAGGACATGAACATCTTGGGGGGTGCATTTTTTCAGCCTCCCACAAATAGCAAAGTCCCATTGACGACGGAGGGGTGGCTGAGGCTCAGGTGTGCAGGCTGAGTCGGGGGCAGATGGCTCAGGGCTCTTCACACCACCTGCCCTGATTCTCAGGAGGTGAGCACAGGGCAGAGGCAGCAGCCACCTGTGGGGGTCCTGCCCGGTGCCCCACTTTGCCGCCCCCACCAGAGGGAGGGCGCAGCCACACAGAACCATTGGACGGATGAGGAATGTCAAAGAGACAGCCCCAGGCCCCAAATGGCATCGCTCATGCTGAAAAGCCCATGATGCCAAACCTGTATTTAACACCCATCTCAGCGCAGGGTGGCCTCTCCCAGGACGTCACCTTCTGACCAGGCGGGAGGCTGCTGGTCACGCCCAGTAGAGCCCTCTGTCCCGGGGAGGGGGGGGGCTCGCTCCCCGCCTCACCCCCATGGACCGAAGAGGCAAGTCTGCCTGACAAAAGCCTTCCCCTTGGCTTCCCCCAGAGAAGGGGTGTCCCTCTCAAAGCAATCCTTTCATTTTTTTCACACTTAGCTCCCATGCCCGCCCCCCGCCCCCCTTCCTCATGTGAACAGCCTGGATTTTGTACAGCCCCTTCCCCCTGCTCGGCGGGAGGCTGCCCGATTCAGGAGTCCCGTCACAAAGCCAACTAGATCTCCAAGCTTATTCGGTTGATTTTCTTTTCTTTTCTTTTTCTTTCTTTCTTTTTTTAAAAACAGGAAACAGATTGGAAAGTGGGTGAGGATTTGCCAGGGGGCGTGGACACCCCCCAGGCGCCCCGCACCTGTGGTCAGAAGTTCTGAAAAAAAACTTCCCGGCGCCAGTTTTCAGGGTTACTCACGCGCTGTGCCATCAGGTGAGCTCCAGGCACGATGAGACTTGAGGCGCCGGGAGTGCGCTGGGCTGTCAGGACGCCGGCCCAGGCCCGGGGGGAGGGAGACCGCGCCCGTGCTCCCCCGACCTGGCGGCTCCCCGGGCAGATCTGAGCTTGGGGTGGGGTGGGGTGGGGTGGGAACCGGCGAAATAGGAGCCGGGAGCTTTCCGTGGAAATTCCCAGCTCGCCGGCCAGGTCGCTTACAAACCGCCACGGGGACTGGGACCGGGCGGGCGCTCAGCTGGGCTCCCTCGGGGTTTTCGGGAGGAATTCCTCCTCCCGTCCTGTCCTGAGCCAGACAGGAGAGCACTGGCGAGCGGGTCGCTGCTCACACTGGACTGCAGGCAGCCCGCCGCCCAGCGCCTTGTTAGACGGAGGCTGGGGCACCTGCTGCTCACCCTCCCCGGGGCCTCGGTGGAGGAGTCTTCCTGGGAAGTGTGTCCGCCCTCAACCCCTTCCTCCTCTTACTAGAGCAGCAGAATTTGCAAACAAAAAAAAAGGGAAGGGGGTGTTTTATGGAGAGAAACCTCACAGGGTGATCTGATCCTAACTCCCCAACGGGGCAGGTCACACCCCAGGCCTGTAACCTTTTAGTAAAAGATGTCTTTTGCCTCAAGCAAGCCCTGTCCACACCTTAGAGGTAAGCAGTAACCACCTCAGGGAACACAGACTCTCCTTAAACCTCCGAGGAAAGGAAGGAGGGGAGGCCAGAGAGGGGCAGACCTCCAGCCACAGAGGAGGCAGGGGGGCCAGGGCATGCAGGCTCCTCCGGCAGCTGAGGGACTGGGAAACCGAGGCTTCCCAGGAGGCGTCGGCCTGTGGACACCTTGACTTCTTGGATTCTCAGACTCGGATCTCCTGTGAGCATTCTCCAGGCCAACCTTGTCTTCTCTTTCCTAACACGCACCACCTGGTCCTTCCTGGTTTATCTGACTGTGAGCTTCTCAGGGGCAAGGACACCAGAGCCTTCGCCGTCGTTTATCATGAGCTGCTATCGGCCAGGCAGCGTATAGACAACAGAACTGGGTTTCCCGCCGTTCCGGAGGCCGGAGGCCCAAGGGCCAGGCGCTGGCAGGTCTGAGTCCGGCGACCCTCGGTGGCCGTCCTGCTCTGTGTCCAGGGACACAGACGTTCAGGCCATGGCGACCTTGTTCCCGGGGAGTCCCCAGCACTTAGCACATAGTAGGAGTTCATGGATGCCGGGGGATGGACATGTAGGTGACGGGGCCGCCGAAGGCCCAGGCGACCGGGCCGTCCGTCGAGCGCACAGTAATTGTCAGCTGGTGTATTTCAGGCTTTCGCCAACCCCGAGGATGCCCTGAGGCACGGAGGCCCCCAGTATTGCCGGGATGACCAGGACGTGGACCGCTGCCTCAGGCAAGTACTGCTGGGCCTGAGCCCGGCCCTCCTCTGCACACGGGGGTGGAGGGGGGGCATTTGGGGTCTGAGGCCCCTGCCTTCCTGACCCCCTAGGCCTGTTCGGCTTTACTCGTTGATTTGATGTCTAATTGTGGGAAAGTCACACATGTGACGGCTCAGGATCACAAGGTTAGAGGAGGGTGTTGTGTGAACAGCCAGTCTCCGGGCCCCGCCCAGTTCTGCTTACGATCGCATGCGCTGAGCTTCGTCTGGCTCACCCCCAAAGGACCGCCCTGTGCCCGCTGGCTGTGCAGCGCCTGTTGTCACAACCGCAGCGGTTGTGGCTCATCGGCTCGTCGAGGGCCCGTCCGAATCTGTCACCCCTCTGCTGAGGGGAGGACCCTGAACTGCCCCGCTGGTTCCCTGCGATGGGCAGATAGGCTGTTCTCACTCTTTCTCTTGTGAACAGACCCCTCATTTGCCTTCGTACATGTGAGCAAAACTAAGGATGAAATCCAGTGGTAGGAAATGCTGCCCGCCTGGCGCGGCTCGGTGGTTGAGCCTCGACCTAGGAACCAGGAGGTTATGGCTCGATTCCAGGTCAGGGCACAGGCCCGGGTGGCAGGCTCGATCCCCAGTAGCGGGTGTGCAGAGATTCTCTCTCATCACTGATGTTTCTATCTCCCTCTCCCTTCCTCTTTGAAATCAACAAAATATATTACAAATACATATATAGAGACAAACACACTGCCAAGCCCTAGGTGAAAATTTATGCCACATCTTGGTTTTATTTTGCGGTTCTTTTATTCCGAGGGGGGGGGGCGGGAAAACCACCCATGATTCTAATCACTGTTAACAGTTTCTTCTATCTCTTCTTTGTCTTCTAGGTCTAAATATTTTTCATAAAATTAGGCATCGTACACCTAATGGGGGGGTTCTGCTTTTTTCCAGTGAACATTATTTCATGAGCATTTCCCATGTCAGTAGATATTACTCAGAAATGATTCTTTAAAAAAAATGTGTAAAAATTCCATCAGAGACAAAGGGTGAAGGGTTAATTTCATGTCACCAGTCTCAACGTTGGACTTCTGAGCAGTTTCCTCTCTGCTGTTTTACACGGGGAACTGGAGAGTGAGGGGTGGCCCTCCGGGGATGGGGGGGTACCAGAAGTTCCTTGGAGAAGTGGGCAGGATGGGGACAAACCCTCGCATAGCGTTTCTGCATCACAGGCAGAAATGGGTGGGACATTGTAGGGTAGCAGAGAGTATTTTCTTAACAGAAGATCTGTTTTTTATTTTCTTATGATTTTCTTGGCCCTTGATAATAGCATACATACTTGTGGCTTAAAAACGACAGTAATGTGTAATGTAAGAAGTGGGATTCTTTGCTATTTTGCCTTTTCTAATGCAACTACAGTACGTGGTCCTTCAGATCTGTCTGTCACCCAGTCAACCCTTAATGCGCCTACTGTGTGCAGGACACGTGGCTGAGACGTAGTTGTGCTTCTGTGTACAGAAGCCTTACCCGTCCTCGAGCCCATCCTGGGACCCTTATCCCACCCTCACCCTGGGTTGGTTTGACCCCCTGGGCAGGGAAGGACATGAGCCGTGGAGGCAGCAGCTGCCACGGCGGGGTCGCCCGAGCCAGCTCACAGCGGCCACCAGGAGATGTTCGCTTCTCCCAGGGCTCGGCGTTCTAAGTAGCCAAGCCTACTTGCGGTGCAGGAGATTCCATCGGCTCCCAAGTGGTTGGTGATGTTCACTGGCCATGACCATGCCGGCGAGAGACAGTTCCACCGCCCAGTTCAGTTTCTTCTCCTGGTCAAGATTCCCCACCATGTGGGTGAGAGTCCCTCTAGCACGTTTTGAGCACCTCTTAGGTCGCGATGGTCTATATCCATTTGGCGAGTGTTTATTGGGGACCTGCTGTGCCCGCGCTGGGGTCCTGGTCCCCTGAGCCCCTCCTCCTCCTCCTCACTTCACATAAATAACATCCTGGAACCCTGAGGGCGCAGAGCTCAGAATCACGCATCCTGTGGTCCCCTACTGGGGAACCGGCTGGAACCAGGTTCTAGGAAGGAAGATGCCCCGGAGGTAAAAGCTGGTTAAATATTAGACCGGCCTTTACGCGGGGCGGGCGGGCGCAGTCCCGTCACCCTCCTGCATAACAGGTAGGCCCTCGGGTCCGCTTCTCGGAGGACACAGTCCCTCGCAGACGAACGCGTGCTGGGGCCCGGCGTGAGCCAGCCTTCACGTGCAGCCCCCCTTTCCAGCCAGTCCACCCCCGTCTCTGGCAATGTGCGTTTTGGGAAATTCGGAGTGTGTGGGAGGCGGCAGTGGGGGGTGCCTGAGGGACCCCAGAGAAGGAAGACAGACGCTTGACCAGCTTTGAGCTGTTGTGACTTTGGCGTGTGCAGACCTAATCAGTGAACTGCTTTGCCAGGAGATGGGCCCCCAAATCTCACCCGCCGCATTGCTTTCGGGGGTGGTGAGCCGAGGCCCAGGGAGGGCGGGAGCTCCTAGCCTGTCCACGGCACCAGCAAACGTTAATTCATTTGGCCAAGGTGGCTGAGGGCGGTCAGAAGTCCGGCGAAACCCAAAGAGGGAGAAATTAGCTTTAACACGTGTGTCCGCGTGTCCGCGTGTCCCGGACAGCACTGTGGGGAGTGACAATGGCGGAGGGGCAGCTGACTTAGCAGCTCCTGCTCGGTGACAAGCGCTTCACAGGCTCCAGCCGCTCAGCCCTGCGGGCACCTTCCCGGAGGGAGCCGCCACCTCGAGAGGGAGAAGGGGTTTGCGAGGCCGCGGAGCTCAAGCCGCCCACATGGCACCCGGCTGGCACGGCTCTGCTCCTCTAGGCCTTCCCTCCGCCCGGAGGCGCTGGACTCGGCCCTATACCCGCCTTTACCCCTAACCAGCCTTTCTGTTGCCTCAAACCTGAATTCAGGGAAAGCGCCAGCGTGTATGGAGGGCAGGGCAAGGGGAGGGGGGACCTGCCGTGGCCGCCAGCGTTGCCCTTGGGGGTACCCAGGTCTCCCTGTCCCCACCCATCACGGTCACCTGATGCTGTCAGATGCTGCTGGTGCTGCAGGCTGCTCCTGGGTGGGCAGGCGGGCGGGCGGGCCTGGTGCTGCCGCAGGACCTTCCCTGCAAGTTCAGTCTTGCGGGAACGGGCCTTGGATGGCTTCTACCTTAAAATAGCGGTGATTCTTGGGATGACAGGTTTTGCCCAAGTGTCTCTGGTACGTGACTCTGTCCATGTCTCGGTTCAGATCCCAGGCTGGGAGGAAGGGAATGGGTTTTCTTGCATCATCCCTAATTTCCCCGCGTCTCCTCTTTGGGCACCACTGTGGTTTGAGACAAACCGGAGGGAGGAGAGAGGAGGGAGGAGGGAGGGGGGA